TATTTCCAATACCCACCTGGCACCAGACATAGTTATTACAATATTATTGACTATATTCCCTACGCTGAACTTTACATCTCCATGACTATTCTGTAACTACCAGTCTGTACTTCTCAATCCCTTCACCCAGCCCCCAACCCCTCTCCCTTCTGGCACCCACCAGTCTGGCAAACACATGATCTTCTGTCCACACATAAACACACTCACCTGGTGCTTATTAATATTAAGGACTCCAACCACCGAAGGACACTCAAGATGAAAGAAATACGCTTTTCAAGTTATTAACTTTGTAGTTGAAAACCTCACAAGGAAAGCTCAGATGGCTTTACAGGTGAACTCTATTGAACAGTTCAGAAAGGCATAACACTGGCCTGGCCAGTATGGTTCAGTGGTTGGACATCCTCCTCTACACCAAAAGGTCTCTGGTCCAGTTCCTGGTCAGGGCACATGCCCGGGTTGTGGGCTCAATCCCCAGTGTGAGACATGCAGAAGGCAGCTGATCAATGGGTTGCTATCATCATTTATTTTTTATTTCTCTCCTACTCTCTTCTTCTCTGAAATAAATTTAAATTTAAAAAAAAGTAAAGAAAGGAATAACACTAAGTCTCAAAAAAACTCTTCCAGAAAATTGAGGTCACTGGTGGGAGGAGTTCTGCTGGAGATAGCTGGCTGTGCCGGCGGCATATTGAACGCACAGAACATTTTATTTGTGATGTAAGCTGTAACAGGACCAGTGGCTAAGCTGTTGGCTGCTCATTCTCCCTTGAATCCTAGACCTCCCTCCCTAGTCACTGCAATGGCCATGCAACCCTCTCCAGACCTCAGAACCGCAGGGAGGCGCTGTCTAGGGAACTGGGGGTGTTTTGAACAAGCCTGAGATTCCCAGAAAACCCTCAGGGGTGGCGAGTCTCAGGGTAGACAAGGACGCACACAGGCTCCCAGAGACACTTCTCTTCTGTTCTTTATTGGCTCTGCACGTGTTGTCTGAAAAGCTTCTGTTTTCACAGCCTTCGCGAAGGTAGAACTTCTCTGCTTTCAACGCTCCCCAGTCGCCCAGAGCTGTGCTCCTCCCTCGCCCGAGGGAAAGAGGCTGCTCTGCTCTGCTCTGTTCTTTCAAACCCTGATGGAGAAGAGACTGTTCTTTCTGCTGGATCACTGGCCTATGTCCTGTGGGTACTGGGACAAGCCAGGGGCCTGAGGCTAGCGGTGCCCATGAGGCCAGTGACTGTGCTTCTTCATCCCGTTGACTCGCCTCATCACGTGTGGGATCTGCCACAGCTGAGAGCTCTGTCCCCCAATCCTGTACTCACACCAGCCCCATTAACCTCTTCAGAAAGGTCCTTATGTGGAACTATCCGGATTAGCAATAAATTTCAGGATATTTGGCTAAATTCCCTGTGGAGAGTCCATCTGTCTCCTTTAAAAGTAATAACTAGAGCCCTAATTGGTTTGGCTCAGTGGATAGAGCGTCGGTCTGCGGACTCAAGGGTCCCAGGTTCGATCTCACTCAAGGGCATGTACCTTGATTGGGGGTGTGCAGGAGGCGGCTGATTGATGTTTCTCTCTCATCAATGTTTCTAACTCTCTATCCCTCTCCCTTCCTCTCTGTAAGAAAATCAATAAAATATATATTTTTAAAAGGTAATAACTAGAAAGCAAATCTCCATTCAAGAAATGTCATTTTTAGTATTTTGCCTAACATCGGAAATGCAAAGCAAAAATCCTAGCCCTGATCTAACAGCTTCTAATCTCACACATATGGACGCCACTGGAGACCTCCCTGGTCACTCTGAGTTTAAATAAACCCTGGCCTCACTTCCGGTCTAATTGTACCTGTGGAACACTGTGATGGGGAGAGGGGCATCCAGATAAAGGGGTCGTGCAGGTCTAAAGCAATCCTGAACACTTTTAAGTCATGGGTCTGAAATTAATGACATAAAAATAATTATTATGGGGTGAGCTAAGAAAAAGGATTAGAGGCACTGAGAGAAGGAACAGAGTGGGCCCAGTAAGAAAGTCGGGAGTATCGGCCCGCGTGGCTCAGTGGTTGAGCATCAACCTATGAACCAGGTTCAATTCCCGGTCGGGGCACATGCCCGGGTAGCGGTCTCGATCCCCAGTATGGGGCGCGCAGGAGGCGGCTGATCAATGATTCTCTCTCACCATTGATGTTTCTACCTCTCTCTCCCTTTCCCTTCCACTCTGAAATCAATAATAAAAATATATTTTAAAAAAAAGGGAAAATCAGGTATTTTGAGATATTAAGGCTGGGAGTATGTGAGGAGATTTTAGGAGAAAAGTAAGCCAGTGGAATGGGTTCATTAAGCAAAAAATCCAGGTGGGTCAGGAAAGCAGGAGAGAGGTCTGTTCTTTAGGAGAAGTGGCATAATTGCATCAGAGGAGTGTAATTAGTGAGGAGACGGTCCTGGCAGGTGCAGAAGGAGAGCCTGTCCGCCTTTCTGGTGGCTGCCATTGGCGAAAGAAATAAGGATGGAAGGAAAGAGGGAAGATCTCAAATTGTGGAAGAGAGGAATATAGAGAAGCAGAGAAGACATGAAATGTCAGGGCGATAAGACGAGCTAATGACTGTGCACAAGACAAAAATCAGTCATGCCATCTGTGTGTGTGTGTGTGTGTGTGTGTGTGTGTGTGTGTGTGTGATGCACAGATACTTGATGGTGCTATTTCACAGCTTCACCCAGGTTCTAGTTCATGGGTTTACCTCTCTTCCTCCTTCTTCCCTTGATGGAAGAGCTGGTGTGCTCTTTGGTATGCAGTGGTAACTTCCAGTATGTCATGGCGAAAATCTCCTCGATGCATCACTCTTGTCCCCTGCCTCATCAGCCCACATCTGGCTGAGACCACAGCCCCCTTTGCTGTAGACCTACATTGTGCCCTAGGGCAGTGGTCGGCAAAGCGCGGCTCGCGAGCCACATGCGGCTCTTTGGCCCCTTGAGTGTGGCTCTTCCACAAAATACCACGTGCGGGCGCGCATACAGTGCGACTGAAACTTCGTGGCCCATGCGCAGAAGTTGGTTTTCTGCCTGGGCGAGTCTATTTTGAAGAAGTGGCATTAGAAGAAGTGGGAGTGTCGGGCAACCGGAGACGAGGTGCAGGCGGGCCGCGGGATACACAGCAGGAGAGGCGCATGCGATTCATGCAGGAGTTGAGTGAGCCAGTCAGTCAGCAGTCTCATGGTGCAGTGGTTAGTGCTAGTCAAGTCCACAAATCGCGCACGGGTGACAAAAGTACCTACTCAAAGCATAAAGTTACCTGTATTTTTCCAACCAGCTGCAAATCCTACAGGTATTTTTGTCATCAATTTAAGAATTGTAATTCTTTTGTGTTGGTGGCTTTATTATTATAAAATGAAACATTTTTTTAGGTGCCCTGTTTGAAATGGCTACAAAGAAGAAGCAAAGAAAAACGGAAGACGAAAACCATGAATTTAAAGTTGAATGTACCTACCTATATAGCTTAAGCTTAAAAAATTTGGCTCCCAAAAGAAATTTCAATTGTTGTACTGTTGATATTTGGCTCTGTTGACTAATGAGTTTGCCAACCACTGTCCTAGTGCAATCTGCTTCCTTCCAGGTGCTGTTTCTCCCCCTATATGGCTTTGCCCGAAGCATGTACACAGACCCTACCCTCAATTCCTTGCAAATAACATCAGGGACTAAGCTGAGATTTCCATTATGGTTTGTTGAAGGCATGGGAATAACTGAGGGAAGCTAACAGAAAACATAGAATAAGATCTTGGCTATGGCTGTTCTTGGAATCCACTGGCTCGGTCCCTCCATGGGACCTTTACATTCAGCCACCTACCTACCTGGACGCTTAGTCCCTCTCGAGTTCAGGGAAAACCCACTAATACCCGGCCTGACAGCCAGGGGGAAGGGCCAGCTGACCTCCCTCCAGGAGAAGTAATCCCAAACTTCTCTCTGCTAACAAAAGTCTACGTCTCACCCTGGTTGGTGTGGGTCAGTGGTTAGAGCATTTGCCCATACACTGAAGAGTCACGGGTTCGATTCCTGGTCAAGGGCATGTACCTGGGTTTCGGGTTTGACCGCCGACCGTGGTTGGGGCAGGAGCAGGAGGCAACCAATAATGGATGTGTCTCTCTCACATCTCTGTCTCTATCCTTCTTCTTCTTCCGCCATCCTTTCCGGTCTTTCTAAAAATTAATGGGAAAAATCCCCTTGGGTGAGGATTAACATACAAAAAATCTAAGTCTCAACTCCCAGACTGGGAAGCAGTTTCCTCCTGGACTCTCATCTCCTACCCTAGGGTTTGCTTCATTCCGGGATGACTGACAGTGGGGGACCACTCCCCTCGGGAGAATCCTCTGTCGGGGCCTCTGAGCCTAACCTTCCCTTTCTCTTCCCCAGTCCCTAGAGCAGCGGTTCTCAACCTGTGGGTCGCGACCCCTTTGGGGGTTGAACGACCCTTTCACAGGGGTCGCCTAAGACCATCCTGCATATCATATATTTACATTATGATTCATAACAGTAGCAACATGACAGTTATGAAGTAGCAACAAAAATAATTTTATGGTTGGGTCACAACATGAGGAACTGTATTTAAAGGGCCAGAAGGTTGAGAACCACTGCCCTAGAGGCATTGGCCGTTCTGCCTTCCAGTTATCTGCATGCATGCTCTCCTTGCTTTAATGAGCACCTTGGTGAGGATGTCTGAGTCCTACCTGCCCAGCCCTGATCCACCCTGTACTCTCCACCGTGTGGAATAAAGAAAAGGTCGTAGAACATGACATGGGACATCCTGAGTGGCAGGACTGAAATAAATCAGGGCCAGGATGTGTCTAGCCAGTCCCTCTCCCGAAATGTGCTGAAAGGGAAATGACTGGTCCCTAGAAGCAGGAGAGTCTCTGAAGGACTTCCACAGTGTCCCCGCCCCTAGCCCTTCCTGGGGAAGCCCCACCTGGCAGGTGTATAAATAGGCACCTCAGCTCCTGCCCTAAGCTACTCCTCTCTCCCTCCACAATGGACAGGCCCCTCCTGTGGGGACTCCCTGTGCTGCTCTGCTGCTTCAGAGGTGAGCCCCAGGGGTGACGGTTGGAGAGACGTGTGGAGGGTCCTGGAATAGGTCAGGGTTCCCACCACCGAGGTCCTCTTAGGGGAGCCCTGGGGCACCAGAAACTGCCATTCTAATGCCATGCCTTCCACCTCAGGGCATCATGTCCCTGGGATCTCACCAAAGCCATAGCTTCTGTCCGTGCCTCCCCCACTCCCCCCAGGAAAAAATTGACGGGTTATAAGGAATTGAGAGAATTTTCACAGAAGCTGGGAGGTGGGACTTGTTAAAACAAGGTCTGCAGAGAATGTATCTCTCTTCCCCCAACAGTACTATCTGGGTCATTTATGAACAGAGAATATGCAGGTGAGTAGAAATGGATCAATAGTGGGGGAGGGGGAAGGTTAGAGGAGGGAGGAGATGAGAGGGGCAGGGCAGGCCTTGGGGATGGAAAGGAACCAGAGATAGACCCAGACTTTGAACACCCAGCAACCTATTCCCGCAGGAGGGGGCTGGGGTGGGAGCTGGTTTTAGGTTTGACCTCCTGACATGAACAGCAGCTGACAAGGCTTAGGGCGAGTTAATAAAGGACACGAACGAGGGAAAGTGGAAAGGGAGACGTTGCAGGCACTAGGGGGCCAAATCCAAAGAGTAACTACGTAATGGCTATCAGATGCTTTAGCCATTCTTCAGTGGGGAGTTGAAGAATGACCCCAAACCCAGGAGAGATGCAGAGCCAGGATCCCTCGGGGAGGTTGCAATCGTTACTATGGTTGCAACAGGTGAGCTCTGTTGACTTCCCTATCGTCAGCTTCCAGACAACACGTGGGTAAAAGCCACATAGGGTGGGTTAAAAAGAAGAGAGTGAGGTTTAAAAAAAAAGAAAAAAAAGAAGTGTATTTCCCTGTCTCCCCCTGGTCTGCGCTGCGTCCTAGAAGAACGGGGAGGGGAGTCTGAGAGGCCCCGTACAGGTGAAGAGCATTCAAGTGGGGAAGGAGCGCGAAGGGGTCGTGAGATAGGTGGCCAGGCTCCGGAGGGACAGACATGGCCTAAGGTGGCTCCAGGTTAGAGGGAGGATGGACCCCGGGCACGGCAAGGATGAAAAGGGCAGGTTTGCGTCACGCTCCATTTCTCGTTGCCAGCGCAGGCACTCTACGAGCAGCACCTCTATATTGATAAAAGCAAACTTTTTGGTGAGTACGAGGACCTGAGCTGGTGGTCTCAGCCTTCGCTTTGCTCCTCTTTTTGTGTCTTTCCCCTCCCGTATTTGTCAGACTAAGGCTCCTGAGACCATAGACCCCACAGCCTGTCTTGGCCTTAACCTCTGCCGAATCCCAGCCTGAAAGGGGAGGTGGGTCCTCCCAGGGCCTGCGAGACCTGCTCTCCCTTCCCCTTCCCTCCTCTCTGGTCCAAATGACAGACTCTGTCCAGTGCAAGATGTGCCACATCAGGTTCCCAGGGCAGAGATGCTCCAGAGGCAGGGGGATCTGTCATGCCACGCCGGACGAGGCTTGCACAGTTGGGAGGATTGCTAAAAGTAAGTTGTGGGTAGGGCAGGGGGGGGGGGGGGCAAGCTTTTTGACTCGAGGGCCACAATGGGTTCTTAAACTGGACCGGAGGGCCGGAACAAAAGCATGGATGGAGTGTTTGTGTGAACTAATATAAATTCAAAGTAAACATCATTACATAAAAGGGTACGGTCTTTTTTTTTTTTTTTTTTTTTAGTTTTATTCATTTCAAACGAGCCAGATCTGGCCCGCGGGCCATAGTTTGCCCACGGCTGGGGTAGGCGGAAGGAAAGAGGGGGAAGGAAGCAGACAGGGAGGTGTCAGCCAGAGGAAAGAGGCGGGCTCCTTTCACTCCTGGCGATCTCAGCTCTGAGTGGCTGGTACCTCCACCCCCATCATATGGCAGAATGAAACTAGATGAGGGTGACCATGAAGGAAGGGGTGGGTCTGTAGCTAGAGAGCCAGTATTTCCAGAAGCCCGAAGAGAGCAGGGGAGAGGCAACTGGCTGGAGAGCAGCTGGGCCTGGGGCGGGGAGGGCAGCTCCGTGTCTTTGTCTCTGCCTGCAAGTCCTCCTGGGTGGTTTTCAGCTGTGGAGACCGAGGAGCTGCAAGCAGCAGTAGCGACTGGCTCAAATAGCCCTCAATGGGTACGACTAAGCATCATGACTTCACCGATCGCCTACCCTTCGTGCTAAGCGATCCCTGGGCATTTATAGCTCTTACTTAAACCAGTGCCGATTCTCGACGGAAGCGTCCGCTTTGGCAGCCCCAGGATTGCTGCTGGCATTGTTTCTCCACCCCCAGCCCTTTCTCCCAACTCCTCTCCCATGGCCTTTCGTCTGGGAAGCCTCCAACCAGCAGCACCTTCCAGTTCTCCCCATTTGAATAGCGCAGCCGTACACTACGACCCTAGGCCGCTTTCCTCTGCCAGGGTGGTCTGGACAGAAGTTTCTGGGTAGGCGCCTCTGTGCTGATGTTTCTCCTCCCCTCTGCAGGTGACGGTACTCCGTGGTTGACCTTCATGGGCTGCCTGAAGAACTGTGCGAACGTGAACAACATCAGGTGGAGCATCTACCTGGTAGAGTTCCGGTGCTGCAGGAGTTTTGACTTTTGTAATGAACTCATCTAAAATAGCTGGCCCTTCTGTGGTTCCACCTCTCGGTGACATTGTTGCCACGGCCCCTTCAGAATCCTTTCCTAAATAAACACATTTCAGGTTGCAAAACACATGGCTCTGTCTTCTTCATGGGTAAGAAAAAGCCCTCTCCTTTTTTAAATTAAAAAATATGTATTTTTATTGATTTCGGAGAGGAAGGGAGAGGGAGAGAGAGAGAGATAGAAACATCAATGATGAGAGAGAATCATTGATTGGCTGCCTCCTGTACGCGCCCCCCACTGGGGATCGAGCCCACAACCTGGGCATGTGCCCTTGCCTGGAATCAAACCTGGGACCCTTCCAGTCCACAGGCACTCTATCTACTGAGCCAAACCGGCTAGGGCAAGGTCTCTATTCTCAATTCAATCCCTACATGGCTACCTGATTCCCTGGCTAGGTAGGGCCATCATAACTGCACTCACACCAAATTGTCTCTCAAATCTTAGTGTCCACAAACTGAAACGCCCTTAAAAATGTTCCTTGATGCTTTCTCCCTATGCCTGCCCAGGTGTTCTAGCTTGATTCCTGCTCCCCCCACCTTCCGCCCCCCCCCCCACCACCTCACCCCACCACCTCACCCCACCACCACCACCTCACCCCACCACCACCACCTCACCCCCCCCCCCACCACCACTACCACCTCACCCCCCCACCCGCACCCACCACCACCACCTCACCCCACCACCACCACCTCACCCCACCACCACCACCTCACCCCACCCCACCACCCACCACCACCACCTCACCCCCCACCACCACCTCACCCCCCCCACCACCGCACCACCACCCACGCACCCCCCCCCCACCACCACCGCACCCCACCACCACCACCTCACCCCACCCACCACCTACCTCACCACACACTCACCCCCACCTCACCACCTCACCACACCACTCACCCCCCCACCACACACCCTCACCCCACCACCACCACACTCACCACACTCACCACCACCTAAACCACCACCACCACCTCACCCCACCACCACCACCTCACCCCACCACCACCACCACCCCACCACCACCACCTCACCCCCCCACCACCACCTCACCACCACCACCTCACCCCCACCACCACCTCACCCCCCACCACCACCACCACCTCACCCCCCCACCACCACCACCTCACCCCACCACCACCACCTCACCCCCCCACCACCACCTCACCACCACCACCTCACCCCACCACCACCACCTCACCCCCCCACCACCACCTCACCCCACCACCACCACCACCACCACCTCACCCCACCACCACCACCTCACCCCACCCCACCACCACCACCTCACCCCACCACCACCACCTCACCCCACCCCACCACCACCACCTCACCACCTCACCCCCCCACCAAAGAGCTCTGTACCAGAGAAAGATGTGGCTCACGTTGCCAGCACATTGGGCAGCTAGGGTTAGTCCTCTTTTATCCCCATTAGACACTTCAGAATGAATGAGACTCAGCTACCCTCCTCTGTGTCTTCTTACGACTGCTTCTCCTTTCACTATCAGCTGGCTTTCTCACTCTCTGCCATTGTTAGAAGAGGAGAGAAAAATAAGGTCTGCGGGGAGGAAGTAAAGGGAATGGGGAGTTGAACAATGACCCCAAACCCAGGAGAGAGGCAGAGCTAGGATCCCTGGGGGAGGTTGCAATAGTTACTATGGTTGCAACAGATGAGTTCTGTCCTCTTCTCAAAACCCAAGAAGTTGACGTCCTCACAGTTGGTCATGCATGACAGTATTGAATAATAGTATATACTCTGCCCTGAGGAGGTGAAAGAGAGGGAATGCCATTGTAATGACTATGTTTCCTCCCACCGTATTCCTAGGAACCACCTCTCTTCAGAGCCTCACTAATTTTTCCCTGAGCCCAGATGAGCCACAAAGCTGAGTCTACTAACTGCTGACCCAGATCATGGATTTCATTCCCTAACCAATAAGGCACATCAGCTGCTTCTTCACTCACTGCTGTCTTCAGGAAAACCAGTAATGGATGTGTCTAGGTGCCCCAGGGGCATTTGTCATCCCCTCTAGAGGACCACCCCTTCCTTCCCCAGCCCATTCTCTCACACCCTCTGAGTGAGGGCAAAAGAACAGCGAGTGTCCAAGGGGGGGAGGTGGGTCTTTCTCAGTCACACTGCACCCCACACTACCTTTTTTTGTGAGGATGTAAACGTTCTCGATGGCACAGGACTGCTGGAACTTCAGGTTGCAGGAGTCCATGGTGTCATAGCATAACCCAAGATGAAATTTCTTACATTTATAACATAGTACAGAAGGCTCTGCCAGACACAGAAAGGGGTGTTTAAACAGAATGTACTCAGCAGAGGGTTCTCCACACTGGGGGGCTTCTCTACAGGAATGTACTGTTGCCTCATGGCTCCTACTCTTCCTCAGGCCATCGAATCCTTCAATAATCTCCGTGGAAGCTAACATGTACAGACATACATCAAATGTTGCGTATGATTTCAAAAGGTCAGAGTCCCTATAACATTTATCTATGCACCCACCCCAAAGATTTAGCCCCTTGTCAAGTCAAAATCTAGATGGCTTTTGTCCAGTAAGGAGGAAAAGGGAGTAACAAAGGGGATTTTAGTCTCCTTACGGAAAGGAATAGACTAAATTGGTCTGGAATGGACTAAATTGGTCTGGGAGAAGAGAAAAATCCTAGGACTCTATAATAAGAATGTTTTCTAGCCCTCTCTGCAGATGGAGGGGAGGTTTACTTCTAAACACGTCACAAAAGACCCGTTTACCAAGGACTTCAGACTAGGCACGGTCGTACCTACGAGATACCTCTGGAGGGCACCTGTGAAAAGAAGAAAAGTATTCCTTGAAATAATTTCACATAAATCTGCCCAAGTCCCAAAGCCAATTCTGGAAATTTCTCCTCCCCCAGTGTCTGCCCATCTCCTAAGCAACAACCAGCTGCCCCTCTGTCTCCAGGACTTACCATTATTGGTGCAGATCAGAGAGACCAGGCCCAGCAAAAACAGAGCGAACATCCTTGGGCTTGGGTCGTGTGCACTTTCCTGAGGAACGTGCTGGTTAATCTCCTCCAGTGATCTGTCCTTGGGCACTTCTTCTAAATTATAGAATCATAAAAATTCCGGGACAGACAGTACCTCGATGTTCCCAGAACAAAACCACCCACTGGAGTCTCACTACCCCTAAGGCATCTAGTTTAAAATTCTCTTCAACAATGAGCCAACATCTATAATAATAAAAGCATAGTATGCTAATTAGGCTGGATAGCTGAATGACTTTCCGGACAAAGCTGTGACGAATTTCATGCATCGGGCCTCTAGTATACATTGAGCTATGCAATAAAGTCAAATTTCTCCTTCACATTCTAACCTTTCAAATATATCAAGACAGGATTTGGACATCTTAGTTCCTTTTAGCTATTTTCACTAACCTAGTTGCTCTCTGTAGAATAATCGCAGAACTTTTTTTGTCTCACCTAATAAGCTCAGGATTCCAGGTGTAGTCTGAATGTGAGGGAGCATTGGGGTGCCCCTTCTGTGGTGTAGGGAAGGGAGAGATCAGGGAAAAGGTAAGCCAAGGTGAAATTTGTCTGGTTTACTTTCAGGCGATTGATTTTGTAATTAAATAACTACAAAATACAGACCAAATGACAATATCACAGGAAGAGAAGATCAGCGAACTAAGACACAAGTTAGTGGTCTCACAGACATTAGAGCCTTGTTTTAGGGACCACAGGTACATCAAGCAAGGCTGTTTATGGGGGCTGAGATGAGGGACACTCCAATTTGACTGTCTAACCAGGGAAGGTTTCCCTGAAAAAGAAGTGGTTGGACAGGACTTTTTGGGCTATCAATGTGCTAGCTAAAATAGGTGAGTAGGGCCCTGGCTGATGTGGCTCAGTTGGTTGGGTGTGGTCCCATGCACCAAAAGGTCTCCAGATCGATTCCAGACAGGGCACATGCCTGGGCTATGGGCTCAATCCCCTGTAGGGGGCATACAGGAGGCAGCCGATGGATGTTTCTCTCTCACATTGTTGTTTCTCTCTCTCTCTCTCTCTCTCTCTCTCTCTCTCTCTCTCTCTCTCTCTCTCTCTTTAAAATCAATCAAAACTTTTTTTTTTTTTTTTAAGAAGTGAGTAGGGACAGGCACCCAAAAGAACAGCATATGTCAAAGTACGGAGCTGGCAAAAGACCTGACACACTGTGATGGGTTGCAGTGATATGGGTAAGCAGGAAACCAGGGCACAAAGGTGCATGTTGTTGGAGGTGATGGCATGTGGTAAAAAAAGGGGGGACCATGCACTGGTCTTGCTGCTGGGTTTACTGTGTCCTGATCGCGTAGGATGAAATTTCTCACTACCTGACTGTACGTATCTATTTGGTGGCTTGACTCCTCTACTAGAACAAAGCAGGGGCTTGGTTTTATTTACCATGGCACTCCCAGCATCCGGAAGCTCCCCACAGAGGAGACACCCCATAAATACTGTATTTGTGGAACAAGTGAATAATGATTGTTCCACATCCTCTCATGCATCCTTCCAGCCCATTTTTCACGTAGCAACCAGGTTATCAGATTGATTTGGGGGGAACTAAAATAAGGATGTAAAAATGAAGCTCTTTCTACCTTCCAGCTAGAGTCCTGAGATAGTAGGTGGCATGCATTTTGACACTTCAAAGTGAAGCGTTGTGCTGCTTAGGAAGTTTACAAAGGCAATCGTGAAAACCAGTTGGACTGTCCTGGGCCTTTTGGCCATCTTGGTTTTGGTATGGTGTCACAATTATGAACATGCCAAATATTATTATACCATATAGTCTAAATTAGTGCAGTTTTTGGAGGCCAATTATAACTCAATAAAGCTATGAAAAAATTTTTAAAATAAAATGTAATGTAGTTTTACATCCTCAGTGAAGAACAGATAGACATTGGGTGCCTCTAAATATGATACAAAGAAGAACACAATAGCACCCAGGTAGTACTTCAGCCCAGAATGGATCATCTAAATCTAATCGTGAGGAATTATCAAACACCCCCCAAATGAATGATGAATGCTGCATTTTAAAAGAGGGAGGACTGTTTAATATATATATATATCACATCACGAAAGACAAGGACAGGCTGTAGAAATATTCCAGTTTAAAGGAAGCTGAAGAGACAAGACCGCCCAGCTGGTGTGGCTCAGTGGTTGAGCGTCGACCTATGTACCAGGAAGTCAAGGTTCAATTCCTGGTCAGGGCACATGCCTAGGTTGTGGGCTCGATCCCCAGCAGGGGATCCCCAAGCAGGAGGCAGCTGATCAATGATTCTCTCTCATCATTGATGTTTCTATCTCTCTCTCCCACTCCCTTCCTCTCTGAAATCAATAAAAGCATATTAAAAAAGAAGAAAAAAAAGAAATGTGCCAACGTTTTCAAACCGAGCTTTCTTTTTAGAAACTCAGATTAGGAGGTTGCTCATCTGTGGTATCACCAAGATCTCAGCCCCCATCCTGATGCCAAGAGGGACCGTGAACACAAGGACACAATGTTCTGCTTTCATCTCCCCAGAGCAGGGCGAGCGGCATCTGTGCTGAGTGGCCGCTTCTTCCCATGGGAGTGCATTCATCTGGGCGCTGTGCCCCACTGACTCTATCAGTTATGGAGACTGGAATCAGGTGAGATGGACACCTTCACCCGTTCACTTCCGCACTCAGTCACCGTATGTTCAGCTCACCGCCGTGTGCGAAGCAGGGTGCTAGGTCAAAATAACAGCATTGGTACCCATCCTCATGACGTACGTCATAGAGCTATAGAATGTTAAAGTTGTAAATGATCCTAAAAACGCTCGAAATCCCACTTCGTAGATAAGTGGCTTGGTAGAGACACCAGGAGTTGCATTGCCGTCAGCCACAGGTCTCCAGACTCCGAGGAAAATGCTATTTCTATTGTACCACATTGCCTCTCCTAACAGGTTCTAATACCTATTCTCCCCTACTCCATGCTAACTGGAGAACAACATTGTTTTTAAGAGGAACTTTGATGGATGAGTTACTGTGGGAGAATGCAGAGCAGGTCAAAGGATCCCAGTGCCTGGGTGGAGTTGCAAAATTCCATAATCCCCCCTGGAAATAATCCAGCAGAAAAGAGATTCAAAACTCAATGAGCCTTTCAGAAAGCATCTGCCATAGGGAGCCTTGAAGGAAGAAGAATAGAAACTGTGTAAACACTTCCTTGGCTATGGTTCTAGTCCAGTGGTTCTCAACCTGTGGGTCGCGACCCCTTTGGGGGTCGAGCGACCCTTTCACAGGGGTCGCCTAAGACCATCGGAAAACACATATATAATTACATATTGTTTTTGTGATTAACCACGATGCTTTAATTATGTTCAATTTGTAACAATGAAATTGGGGTCACCACAACATGAGGAACTGTATTAAAGGGTCGAGGCATTAGGAAGGTTGAGAACCACTGTTCTAGAGTCATTGTCTTTAAACAGACAAAGCAGAGAAAACAAGTAACAAAAGAAATGCCCTGATAACCTTATAGACCCAAGCACCAAAGTCTCACTGGTTTGCCTTCTTGCTAATCCTTTGGAAAGTCCTGAAACATTCCATCCAGTTTGTAACATCCTCACCAGAAATATGGCAGATTGGAGAAAAGACTTCACAATCTTTCTCTTCATTCTAGAATCCATTTTTTCCCCCAGACCCAATTCCCTCATATCGAAAGCCTATCTGGCTCTCGTCCCAAGCAAGGATGATTGTAAATTTGGGGGCATTTGAGCTCAGACCTTATTTCATGTAATCTCTGCCTGATGTCTCAAAATGTCAGACTTGATACGTTTTATTGAACATATTGTTCCTACAACTAAAGAGCATGTCATTGAATTAGTTCAGTATGGAAGATTCTTGGGATCTCTCGCCAAAGTCCCATCAGCTCGCTGACTGACAGGCTTAGCTTTAGAATGTCAGGGCTGGCCATTGTTTTCCACTGCTTGATCCCTGGTTAACCTTAACTGAGTTAACTTTCTTTTTTTAAATATATTTTATTGATTTTTTTTTTTTCAGAGAGGAAGGGAGAGGGATAGAGAGTTAGAAACATCAATGAGAGAGAAACATCAATCAGCTGCCTCCTGCACACCTCCTACTGGGGATGTGCCCGCAACCAAGGTACATGCCCTTGACCGGAATCGAACCTGGGACCTTTCAGTCTGCAGGCTGATGCTCTATCCACTGAGCCAAACCAGTAGGGCAACTGAGTTAACTTTCATAAAGATAGATACCTACATCATGGACAAAACTGGCCAGATTCACAATATACATTTGCTTAAGTTCAAGTTGTATCATTCTAGGGGGGGTTTGACAGCCCTACAAATTTCACAGTTCCTGGCCAGGGAGCATGGATTTCTGGGAAGGTGAAGGAATTCTGGGCTGAGAATCACAAGTTCTAGGTTGAAGACCCAATTTGGTCATAGATGATACATCTTTTCATCTGATGTTCCTGTTTTTCACCCGCAAGGTAAGGAGCTGGGTGAGCTCGTCTGAGTTATTCATGCCTCTGCTCACATACATGGAAGTGTGTCTGGCACATAAAGCGCTCAGAAAATGTTTGTTGAATGTATGAATAAATCTCCAAGAGGCAGGGAATCGAGAGACCGGATATGGTCTCTAACCTAGAAAGTCTTGCTTTGAGGACTGGCACTATCAGTCACTGGATATGTGGCCTTGGGTCAGATACTAACCTTGGTTCATTTTCCTCCTGTGGGAAATCAGGACAAAAATTATAACATTGTAACTATAATGCTAATAATAATGACTATGATGGTTATATGAAAAAACAAAGTTGGTTTTAGTGGAAACCCCAGCACTTATCAATGATCATTATTCTTTGCTGTGGGGTGGAGAAAAAATGAAGTTTCGCTCCCCATGGAAACCTTGTGTGATTGGTTCCCTTCTGCATGAATGATCCCTGCCCTGAGATGAAGGAAGTTTCCTCGCCGTAGCCTGGGGACCTGGCCTGGCAGCCCCTGGCTTCTTTCCTCCCGCGTCAGGATGGACAAACACTTCTTGTTGGTCTTCTCCCTCTTCTGCTGCATTGCGGGTGAGTCACACACCTGAGGAGTGGGCTCCAGAGATGGGACTTAGGAAGCCACCCCACCTCTGTAACAGATATCCACGCAGGGCTGAGCCTTGAGCTTATTTATGAAGGAGAGGAGCTTAGCCTTCAAAACTCCCTTTGCTTCCAAGTTTCTGAGCATTTCTTTTTTAAAAATAGAATTTTAACTGATTTCAGAGAGAGAGAGAAGCAGAGAGAGAGAGAGAGAGAGAGAGAGAGAGAGAGAGAGAGAGAGAGAGAGAGAGAGAGACATCAATGATGAGAGGGAATCATTGATCAGCTGCCTCTTGCACATCCCCCGCTGGATTGAGTCTGCAACCCTGGCATGTGCCCTGATCAGGAATCAAACCGTGACCTCCTGGTTCATAGGTCGACGCTCAACCCCTGAGCCATGCCGGCTGGGCATAACTTTCTGAGCTTTTCAACGTTCTGCCATTCCCCATCAGGGACTCAAAACTCAACGGCTGCCCCTTCACACGGCTTCCTCTCTCTTTCCCTACTGTTCCCCATAATCCAAAATCCTAACAAGAGCTTCCTTGGGACATCCTTGCCATTTACAAGGGCATCCCTTATTAGGAGAGCAAATGCTGGGTGCTCTGGTATCAGCGAGATGAAAAAATATGGTTCAGTCACCGTCTTAAATTCTTTGTACTTTTGATTGCTCATCTGAGAAATGGGGGAAATACGCACTCACCAGGCTTTTGTGAGAATTAAATCAGATACAAGTTGAGAGAACATGGCCCAAATGAGATGCTCAATAAATACTACTTTCTTTTCTCATGGAGGTGTCCCAGGGAGAGGTGTTTTAAAAATTAACCTGTATTTGGTTAACTCACCCCACAAAGTATCCCCTAAAGCAGAGGTTCTCAACCTGTGGGTCGCGACCCCTTTGGGGGTCGAACGACCCTTTCACAGGGGTCGCCTCAGACTATCAGAAAACACATATAATTACATATTGTTTTGTGATTAACCACTATGCTTTAATTCTGTTCAATTTGCAACAATGAAAATACATCCTGCATATCAGATATTTACATGACGATTCATAACAGTAGCAACATTACAGTTATGAAGTAGCAACGAAAACAATTTTATGGCTGGGGGTCACCACAACATGAGGAACTGTATTAAAGGGTCGCGGCATTAGGAAGGTTGAGGACCACTGCCGTAAAGTGTCACTGACTATGCTAAAATTCATGAAACCTTCCCAAAGATTCAGTTTGAATTTCAAAATAACAGAGTATCTCACCTAACCATACCTAAGCAGCGGATGTCAGAAATCCCAGCACAGGAGCACTAGCTGGGGTGAACTGTCTTAAAGTGTTCAGCCTCATGAACGCGCTCCTGTCTATCGGCAGTGCTGTGAAACAGGCCAGGCCAGCAGGAATCAAACCTTTTTTTTTTTTTTTTTAAATCCTCACTGGATGAATGAGGATATTTTTTCCGTTGGTTTTTAGAGAGAGTGGAAAGGAAGTGGGGGAGGGTAGAGAGAAACATCAACATGAGAGAGACACATCGATTGGTTGCCTCCCACTCGCACCCCCACCATGGTTGGGGATTAAGCATGCCTTTGACTACGGGTGGAAACTGAGGCATCTTTGGTCCTCGGGTCAATGCTCTAACCACTGAGGAAAACTGGCCAGGGAAAACCATTTTTAAGCTGGAAAAGGCAATGCTACGTAGGCACATCTTTGCTCAGTTACCCAGGTTAGATTGCTTACGTTGGGGCCAGAATCCTTTTATTCTCCTAACAGCATTTGCTCGGAGATGTGGAGTTGAGAGCTCAGTTTAATACCTGGTACCACCCGCTCTTCATCCACCTCCCCTAGCCTGTGCAACCCCTGCCTGTTCCCCCAGACCTACAGATATCTAGCTCCTTCTAAGTCCATGCCTCCCCTTGGCCTCACACCGGCTCTGTACTCTCCAGTAGTGACACCGCTGAAGTGCATAACGTGCCACCTTCACATGGGATCCGATCGTTGTAGAAGAGGCTTTGGTGTTTGTCTTGCTCAGAAGAGTGAGACATGCATGCTCTTAAATATCTACAAGAGTAAGTTGGAGGGCCGGGGTGGGGGGGTGCTGTGAGATTCCTAGAACATTCTTAGGAGAGTACTTCAGCAGCTGTATATCTCAGACTAAGGCCAAGCTAAAAGAGGAACCAAAATGCAGACGCACCTAGCTGGGGTCCCAGTGCACACAGAGATGATGGTTTGGGACAATGAGACAGGAGGAAGAAGATGGCGATTCTATATTCCCAATAAAACTGACCAAACTCACTCCAACTCTGAAGACACTGAAGCACTAGTTGCTAATCTTTTAGGGAAAGAGGAAAGAAGCAGCTTTACAAAGAGCTGAGAGTCATCAGGGAGCTCAGGCAACAACCCCATCAAGGGCCAGTGACTTCTACACCACCTGCCCCCAGGGCCTCTGGGGAAGTGTGTGCTGGGAAGCCATCCCTAACCAGACCCTGATGCCCAATTACGTTTTCACAGACTGGGCTAGTGCCAGGCTTGACTTGTCTTCTGAGAGCTTAGATCACTGGCTAATTTTCTATGTTCCTTCTTTATTGCAGAATATGAGCTCCAGTTATCATATATGGTGTGTCAGAAATTCTGCAGAGACTTGATGTTTAATCACAACAATCTGACTTACATTCATCACTGCTGCAAGTCTGATTATTGTAACATGAATCACTAAGATATTTGCCATCCTGAGGCCTCGCTATAGAATGTTATTGATGTTTCTCCCTCTTCATACTTTGCCTATCCATGTTTCCTGCTTGGTCCATCCTAGAAGTAGCCCAGCTCTCGTTAATTCATGCCATTCTTCCCAGTGTCTCCAGCTTTTATGGATTTTTTTTCTGCTATCTATGAGACATTCCATTTTACATACTAAGTGGTTATTGTATCTGCAAAGGCAATTGGTAACTGAATATTAATTTTATGTCTCATTACTTTAATAAATCCTCTTATTACTAATATTAGTTTTTCTATTGATTCATTTGGTTTCATCAGGTACATACCCTTTAATTTGCAAAATAACATAGTTTTGACTCTCCCTTTCAAGTGTTAAGTCCTTTAATTGCTTTATTTTGTCTAACTGCATTGGCTAATCTTTTAAAAAAATTTATTGACTTTATTGGGGTGACGTTGGTTAATAAAATTATATAGGTTTCAAGAGTACAATTCTATAATACATGATCTATATGTTATACTAGAGGCCCAGTGCATGACATTTGTACACTTGGGGGCGGTCAGGGGCGGGGGGAGTCCCCTCAGCCTGGCCTGAGCCCTTTAGCAGGCAGGGAGCCCTCAGGGGATGTCCGACTGACAGCTTTAGCGAGCAGAGCCTCTGCTGTCACCGCTTCTGCGCTTGCCAGCCATCAGCCCAGCTTGTGGCTGAGAGGCATTCCTCCTGTGGGAGCCCACTGATGACCAGGGCACAGCTCCTGCATTGAACGTCTTCCCCCTGGTGGTCAGTGTGCATCATAGCGACTGGTTGTTCCGCTGTTTGGTCGATTTGCATATTACCCTTTTATTATATAGGATTGTGTGCTTACCACCCAAAGTCAAGTCTTCATTCATCATCATTTATCAACCTTTACCCTCTTCTAACCCCCCTCCTTTTCTCTGATAACATCATACTGTTGTCTGTGCCTATGAATTTTTGTGTTTTTTTGGCTTAATCCTTGCACTGTTTTTACCTTAGTCTTCCAACCTCTCTACCCTCTGAGCTGTCAGTTTGTTCTCTGTATCTATGAGTCTGTTTCTATTTTGTTTGTTTATTTTGTTCATTAGCTTCCACATATAAGTGAAAATCATATGGTACTCGGCTTATTTCACTTAGTATAATATTATCCAGGCCCATCCATGCTGTCATAAAGGGTAAGATTTCCTTCTTTTTTATAGCTGAGTAGTCTTCTACTGTGTAACTGTACCACAGCTGTTTATTTTAATCTCTCCCGAAGATATGTTTATTGATTTTAGAGAGGGAGGGAGGGAGAGGGAAAAACATTATGTGAAAGAGCAACATTGACTGGTTGCCTCTCATACATGTCCCGACTGGGGATCAAACCCACAACCCAGGTATGTTCCGTGACTAGGAATCGAACCCACAACCTTTCAGTGTAGAGGAGGATGCTTCAAACAACTGAGCCACACTGGCCAGGGCTGTACCACACCTGTTTTATCCACTTATCCACTTGGGCTGCTTCCACTTATCCACTTATCCATCTGGGCTTTTCTCCACATCCTCGCTAAAGATTGTTGTTTGTTGATTTATTGATGATAGCCATTCTGACGGGTGTGAGGTGATATCTCTTTGTGGTTTCAATTGTCATTTCTCCGATGATTAGTGACATTGAGCATCTTTTCATATGTCTATTGACCATCTGTATATCCTCTTTGGAGAAGTGTCTATTTTATATTCAGAGGTAAACAAGGTAGTGGTCACCATAGTTACAATGTTCTTGTGAGCTTCACTTGTTTTGGCAGCACTTGCTGCACCTCCCACAGTCCATTAACTACCCACATAGGATCTAGGGAGAGAGAGAGATAGAAACACCAATGATGAGAGAGAATCATTTATCAGCTGCTTCCTGCAGGCCCCACACTGGGGATCAAGCCTGCAACCCCGGGCATGTGCCCTGTCCAGGAATCGAACTGTGATCTCCTGGTTCATAAGTTGATGCTCAACCACTGAGCCACGCCAGCCGGGTTCTGCCCATTTTTTAAATTATTTTTTTTTGGTATTTTGGTGTTGAGTTCTTTATAACGTTTATATATTAATATCTCATAGAAGGTGTCATTGGAAAATATGTTATCCTATACAGTGGGTTGTCTTTTCATTGTGTTGATGGTTTCCTTTGCTGTGCAAAAACTTTTTAGTTTGATGTAGTTTATTTTTTTCTTTTGTTTCTCTTGGTGAAGTAAATATATCCTTGTTAGGAGAAATGTTCGAGATTTTACTGCCAATGTTTTCTTCTAGGATTTTTATGTTTTCAAGTCTTATGTTTAAGTCTTTAATTCATTTTGAGTTTATTCTTGTACATGGTATAAAAAGGTGGTCTAGTTTCTTTTTTTTTTTTACGTACCTGTCCAATTTCCCCAATACCACTTAATGAATATACTGTTCTTACCCCACTGTATCTTCTTGCCTCCTTTGTCAAATATTAATTGACCATAAAAGCATGGGTTTACTTCTGGGCGTTCTGTTTTGTTCCATTGACCTACATTTCTGTTTTCATGCCAGTACCATGCTGTTTTTATTAATATGGCCTTGTAGTATAACTTGATATCAGGTATCAGGATTCCTCCAACTTTGTTTTTCTTTCTCAAGACTTCTGTGCCTACTCAGGGTCTTTTGTGGTTCCATATCCTTTTTTTTGGAATATTTGTCCTAGTTCTGTAAAATACACTATGGGTATCTTGGTAGGAATTGCACTGAATCTATAGATTGCTTTGGGTAGTATGGACATGTTAGTCTTCTAATATATTAATTAGCTGTAGAGATGCTGAACATCATTGTCTTATCCCTTATTTTAGCATGAAACCTAGTATTTCCCCATTAAGTAAATACTGGCTTTTGAGACTAAACTATAGATTATTTTATTATGTTAAATACACATTTATCAATTCCACTTTTGTTTTTTATATGACTGGATGTTAAATCTTGTCAAATGACTCCTTGTTTTCTATGGAAATAATCATCTGACTTTTCTAAGTTATTATAATTTATATTTTTTACACTGAACCAATCTTATATCCCTAAAATAAGACTCACTTGGCAACGATGTATGGTACATTGCATCATCTGGCCCCAATTCTTCACCTTTCCTTTTGTCTACATCCTTTGACCTATAATTTTTCAATGTATTGCCATTATAGGTGGGGTGACCTGTCCAGTCTGCTACCTCTCGCATTGGCCATATAATTTGCTTTGACCACTGTGGTGTTAGCAAACTTAATGTAAGCAGAGTTTGGTGTACAATGAGCTTGGGTCTTGCTCTCTTTGCTTCTGCCATTGCCATGAGTAAGATATATCTAGGCTAGTCCATTGGTCCAAGGAGAAGATAAGCTTGCAGAGCAGAGCTGAGTCATTCTACTCAAGGCCAGCCTAAACCAACCAAACTCTAGCTATCCACTAGATGTACGAATGAGTCTGCTCTGGCTGAGTTTAGCAGAACTGCCCAGGTGAGCACTTGTAAAACTGTGCCAGGCCAGCACAGCCAAGGGTTCGGTGAGCCTGAGGAGGGGCGGCGAAGGATTAAAGAAAAGACAAAGAGAATAAGCTGGGTCTACTAGGTGGATCTCCTGTGCCTGGCTGAGGCTACAGCGAGAGAGAGAGAGAGAGAGAGAGAGAGAGAGAGAGAGAGAGAGAGAGCGAGAGAGAGATCCAGACTGCAGGCTGATGCTTTATTTTATATTCGGAGGTAAACAAGGTAGTGGTCACCATAGTTACAATGTTCTTGTGAGCTTCACTTGTTTTGGCAGCACTTGCTGTACCTCCCACAGTCCATTAACTACCCACATAGGATCTACGGAGTGTTATAAGGTCAAGCTTAATTATGCTAAGAGGGCTGTGCCCTCTAAGCTGGGACTTGTTTGTGGCTTTGTCAACAGGTCAGTCGGAGGCTTAACCCTATAGTCACTCTCTACATAAAACATTTGAATTCTCCAGACACAGAAAATAATTGCTTATTATTATTATTTTTAAAATATATTTTTATTGATTTCAGAGAGGAAGGGAGAGGGAGAGAGAGAAACATCAATGATGAGAGAGAATCATTGATTGGCTGCCTCCTGCACACCCCCAACTAGGGATCGGGCCCACAACCCGGGCACGCGCCCTTGGCCAGAAGCGAACCTGGGACCCTTCAGTCCGCAGGCTGACACTCTATCCATTGAGCCAAACCAGTTAGGGCTCATTGCTTATTATTTTAAGCCGCTGAGTTTTGCAATGATTTTTTTTATTTATTATTGATTTTTCACAGAGAGGAAGAGAGATAGTTAGAAACATCGATGAGAGAGAAACATCGACCAGCTGCCTCCTGCACATCTCCCACTGGGGATGTGCCCGCAATCAAGGTACATGCCCTTGACCGGAATCAAACCCGGGACCTTTCAATCCGCAGGCCGACGCTCTATCCACTGAGCCAAACCGGTTTCGGCTGCAATGATTTTTTACTCAGCAAAGATTACTGATCAATTATATATCATCCTTTAATCTGCTATTGGCTGATATTTTGTTAAAGATTTTTAAATTGATTTTTTTAAAATATATTTTATTGATTTTTTACAGAGAGGAAGGGAGAGAGATAGAAAGTTAGAAACATCGATGAGAGAGAAACATCGATCAGCTGCCTCCTGCACACCCCCTACTGGGGATGTGCCCGCAACCCAGGTACATGCCCTTGACCGGAATCGAACCTGGGACCTTTCAGTCCGCAGGCCGACGCTCTATCCACTGAGCCACACCAGTTTCGGCTTAAATGGATTTTTATAAGTGCTAGAGTATGCCCCACAAGCCCAGAGGCAGAGTAATTGGCCGATCCTCTGCCAAGTGCCCGTCCTGATAGACTTGGCTTTGGCCATGAGAGCAAGATAAGATGACCAGAAACATGGCAATCCAAGTGTATGTGAACACAAGTAGGTGTGACTGGCATAGTTTCCCCAAACAGTGGCAGACACGAAGCCGCA